ATAATAATAATAATAATAATAATAATAATAATAATAATAATAATTTAATTTAAAAACAAAACTAAAATTAATGTTAAGAATAACTTTTTTTTTTTTTAATCATGTTTTAATTTATTTTTAATACAAGAATCATCATTAATCTTATACGTCTTTAAAATTACTTGATAAAGTTAACAAGTTGATTTTCTTTTACAATTATATCAAAAAATTACATATTACTTATTAATGAATGTTTAAAAATATATTGTACTTCAGCCATTCTATGGTTCCAGATTATTATTTTTATCATGCAAAGTAATGATTTTTTTGTGAATGTACTTGTTAAACTCTCAATTATATCGAAATTTATATTTTCTCTATAAAATTATTTCCTTTTGATTTTTCATCTTTATGTCAAATTAATAATAATTAATATAAAAATCAAGCCAATTCAATTTTATCTAATACTAATACAAAATAAGAGGGTATAAAATATCTTAATATGAAATAACACACCAAAACATTTTTAAATTGCTAAATTCATTATTTTCTACATATGATTAGTCGTTCATATGTAGAAAATAATGAATAATGAAAGTTAAAAAAGGTAAAAAATTATAAAATCCATAAAAAACTTAGTTTTTAATTCTTAATTGAATATTTTGGTTATAATGGCTAATGAGACTCTTAAATTCAGTAATATTTAAAATATAAGCTACATTAAATCTAATATAATTTGATAATATACCTTGTGATCTTGAATAAATTAAATCTTTTAGTTAAAATAAAAAATATAAATGATGTATTTCTATTAACACATCAATATTTATTTAATACCTAAATAATTTATCAAACTGTACTTTATGTTTTTACTTTTTTTTCTAAGATCTTTAAATCATAATTTAACTAAATAGCTAAAAACATTTTTAAGAATAATTCCGAGGTAATGTTATTAGTGAAAGTTTGAATTACATTGGTTCTTATATTCATCTAAATATTAAAAAAGAAAAGCATAATATTTATGAGCACAATCTATTCTTCTAATATATGACATCTTAAAAACATTTTTTTTTATCACCAAGCTTTAGATAAATTCAAGGATAAAGTGTCCTTTATAAATATGAATAAAGTTAATTATTACTAATTAAACTTTTATACAGTAACTTCAATTTCTATTAAGTAAATTTTGTTCCTGGTAATTTTGTGGATGTATGATTTGTATTTAATATGATATTTTCAGTATACTTAACTATGTTCATAAAATTCATGAACAACGTATTAACATATATTTAATGTTTCACTACCACAAAAGAATATTAAAAATATTTAAGTAATTTTAGGCAATTTCAATATTTACTTCATATATTTAAAGTTGTTTTATTATGTTAATTTTAGATCACTTTTTCTTTTTTATATATACAGTTAATGTATTTTTTTTTTCATAAAATATAATGAAAAAAAAATTTGCACCTTTTTAATCATGCACGTAACACTGTATTCCTATGTTAAAAAAACATAAAATAGTTCTTTATGTACAGGTTTTATGAATACAAATTTATTAAATTGATAATAGAATACCTATGTAGTATCTGAATACATGACAATTGATCAAAAGTAATTTACCATAAGTCAATATATTATAAACATTTTATCATTGCATAACTTTTTATTGTAAAAGCAATTATCCAATATATTCTGTACTTAAATGTTTATATTAAAAAGAAAAAACTACACATAAATAGGCCAAAATTTTCTTTTTTACAATAATAAAAATGTGAGGGGTTCTACATTCAAATAATTTATATTTTCTTTCTTTTATAAATAAAGATCACCTTAAAAAGTATGGCTTAATAATTTATGTGTTTTAGTTGTTAAAATTTGTAGTATCTGACATTGTACCCAATTAATTAAAAAATTTTAGGTAGAATAGAGACTCCACATATAGTAGATTATAATTCTCCTTTAAAACAATTTTATTTTGAAAATTATATAAGAATAACCTATTTTTAATATATATCTTTAATAACTATTATAACTATTTTTTAAGGAACCTAAAATATATTCACCAACCAAAAAATGTGACTTATGCTAGCTATTTCTTAAAATTTGAATGCACAAAATATAGTAAAATTTTAATGAAACAAAATTCACGAGGAACCAAAAAAAATTTCTAATATAGAGAAATTTGTTAAATATTTTCTCAAAAATATTTCATTAAACATAAATTTTTTTTTAATGGAAATTCTTTATATTAAAGTTTTACTTTATTATCAGTTTTATCTTGAAATTATATTGCTCACTTAAAGTATATAACCTACACATTTTATACCAAATCATCAATATTCTTATTTTCAAACATACAATATGATTTTTATTTAATATATTATATTATATTTATTTTTATATTTATTATTATATTTTTATATACAATTTATATCTTATAAAAAACAGATATAGATTTATTTATTTATTTAATGCTACAAATTTTTTATTAGTAGATATCTTTTTAAGGTGCTATTTTTGGTATTTTTGTAATGTCTGCTTTAACTATTTTAAACTACAATTTTTGTATACATAATAATAAGTATACAAGTTAGTTATATATGTTTACATTTTATAACCTTATTATTAAATAAGTTTAATGGTCTTTCCTATGTTTATATTTTAAATTAAGTTATCTGTACATGGTTAAGACTTATTTCTTAATTATAAACTATAATTCATTGTTAATAAAATTTATTTTACTTGCAATGTTAAAACATTTAAGTATATACTTAAACAAAATCTTTAAAAAATAATTTTAAATACTAATTTATTTATTTTTGAACTATGTAGGTCATTAAAATAATAATTTTTTATTATTTTAAAGAATAGTTACATAGATATTGTATTTCCTCTTTAATAGATAATAGTGTAAGTATGAAATTTATTACAATCACATCTCTATGGAAGCTATTTTCTTATAATAAAAGTTTTTTTGTTATTTTAATAACTTCATTCTTAATTTTCTTTATACGATTAATATTTAAATTTTAATTAAATATTAAATTAATATTATAATTTAATGATTAAATGTTAATTTATAATTTCGATTTTTACCTAATTTTATAATATGTGCAATTTAATTTTTAATAATAAATTTGTCACAAAAAGCACTATTTTTATTTATGCAATTGAGACACTTTATTTTTTTATGCGATATGTTTATATAAAGTAAAATATGTAGTGTAATTTAATAATTTTTTAAAATAATTTATATAATTAAATTTTTAATATAATAATAAAAATAATTCTAATAAAAGATTATTAATTTTACTAGTTATTTTTTGGCTTTGATGCAAAGCAGAGAATGATGTGTTTTTTATTTTTGTGTCTGTGAACTCTCAATCTTATCTCTCGCTGGACCGATTTTTATGAACAATACGTCAAAAGATCACATATCATAACTAGTCGAAGACATTACCCTCAGAAATTGTCAAAAATTCCTTCATCCCCCCAAAAAAATTACAAATTTTCAAATGAGTAATTTTCAACATATTTTTCAATTTTTTTTTTAAACTGCCATAACTTTTTTAAAAATGACTGAATCAATATAATTTTTTTTTTTATATAGATGCATAATGTCTTTATCTGCCCACTGGGGAGATTCAAAATTACAACTTTTTTTTTTTAGTTAAAATATATCATTAAAATTAATTCAGTTCTGAATATTTCAATTGTAGAATCTTTTTAAATACCAAAAGTTACTTAGAAATGATTACTATGATTTCTATTTAAGTGTTCTATTACGATAAAAATGCAAAAAAAATATTGAGCTTTTCTGATAAATTTATTATAAATAGTAATTATAAAGTTTCCTGAATGCATATTAATCTTAACGATACAATTTTTTTAATTCTGATAAAATTTCCTATTTAATGATGTCAATTTCAAACTTGCAGATTGAGCTAAAAGTTATGGTAATAAATACATTTTTTTTTTACTATAATCTTTCACAAAAATCAACTTTAAAGGGTTCAAAAGATAGGTAAAATATGTCTTTTCCGTTATTTTTAACATTTTAATAAACAAAATCAATATTAATTTAAAACAATTTTTTTTTTGTTCTTAATTATTATTTTTTTTATACGTAAATACTTATTTTTTAATAATAAGTAATAATATTAAAACCTAGAAGTAATAATAAAAGTCTAATTGCAAATTTAAAACATCGCGAAAAGTTGATTTAGAAAAGTATATTTTTGTTTCTGATGAAAGTTCTTTGTAGTCCAGTGTATAAAACTTTGTTATAATGAACAAACATTTTGTATTAAAAAGTATTGCATCAAGCCCTTTAAATTTTTATACACGTTAAAAGTAAAGAAATATACAACTACTTTATTATTTTTATAATATCTCCGTAAAAATTACAATATTAAATTTTTGATTGTCAATTTCATACTAAATTTAATTACTATAACTAATCGGGATAAAATTAAGGGAAGAAGAGTTATTGTTGCTTTTGAAATAGTCTACCAATTTCTTAAAATTAAACACTATCTACAGATTTGCATCGAAGCGTTTCTTATGATAGTGATTTTAATCACTGTCAGATATCACTTATACTTGTCCCAACTATGCCACGTCCATACTGTGACGTGACCCCACTGTGCTACCGTTTTTTAATTTATAGAACATTATTTTTAACCCTTTTTATTTATTATACATGATTTTGCTTATATAATATAATTTATTAATCATAATAAATCAATTTCTGCAAAATTTATTATTAGAAACAGAGCATATTATAAATATTTTAACTGGGGAGTACCATTATAGGCGTACTTACGTAAGGGACTTAGTTTAACCCTTTCAGAACCTGAAAAATAAAATTAAAGTATTTCAAAAAGTCTTTGTATACATCATAACATTGTTAACGCGTAATTAAAAAAAAATTGATATTAAGATTATGAAGTTGAGTAAAATATATTCAAATGCTAAGTTGAATTATTTTTGACAATATCATTTATTATGATAAGTAAAGTACATTAATTATTTTCTACAAAATGAACAATTTTGATAAATTTTACGAGGATATTGTATAGGCACAGTAAACAATTTATATCACTAGACTTAATTCCTGTTTACTCACTCGTTTCACTGAGGTCAAATTAATTGACTTTAATAACTAAATAAGCGTTTTGCTTATTATAAAACTAAAAACAACGAAGTGATACAATAAAGTTTATGGTGTGATATTGTTATATTTCTTCCAAATTATAATGGAAAAAATAATATTTAAAAAAATTTTTCCTGAAATAATTTTAACATTGTTAGGTAAGTACATCCATATAATTAAAATTTAGATTGTGAAATGCTTAGTACAACAATTTTTTAAGTCCTTTTTTCATAAAAGTTAGTACAAATGCAAATTTATTATTTATTTGGTAATATTTTATGGTCACCTTTACATGCTCATTTAAATATAATTTAAGATGATATTAGAAGGGCAAGCGACCCGGGACTCGATTTAATTTTGTTTGTCTATCAAGATATACTTTAAATAAAAATTATTTAAGGACATAGGCGTAATCTAGGGGCCTAGCATCCTTGAATTTTATCATAGATTCCCCTACAGAAATGGAAAATTATGTGTATTTTTATACACATAGAAGTAGTTTTAAGAAAAGATGATATTATGTTAAACATCCCTAACATTTTGTTCATTTTGACAATTGCGCATATATCCATAAAAACGGCATCTTAAAATCCACCCCCAAGTTCAATTAGTTCCTAATCTCAGCTCTATATATTTATTGTAAGCGTTTTGCCCAATATTCTATTAATTCATATGAAAAAAGTATACTACATGATGATTGAGCCCGGTTATCCTCATTCCTCATTATCATTAATATGACAATTTAATTTAAAAACAAAATTAAAATTAATGTTAAGAATCACATTTTAATTTTAAAATTATTTGAAAAAGTTAACAAGTTGTTTTTGTTGTATTATTAGCTCAAAAATTACATATTGCTTGTTAATAAATGTTTAAAAATATATTGTACTTCAGCCATTCTATGGTTCCAGATTATTTTTTTTATCATGCAAGGTAATAATTTTCTGTGAATGTACTTGTTAACCTCTCAATTATGTCGAAATTAGTATAATTCGTAAGACAATCAAAATAACTAATTCATCAAAACTCTTATAAATGTTTTAATTTTGTTAATTTAAGTTGTTCAGTGATTCAAAATTTCAGTGCTCTTTAAATTCACCAATAGGACAGATAATTACCTATCTAATCATATTCCTAAAAATTTTAAATAATATAATCTCTCTCTATTTACTAAAATTTGACGTTGACGCTATTTGATATATCTCATAACTGAACCATAATAACAAATGGAATAAAATTATCACGTGCTGCACAGACGAATGGTCAATAGTAAGATACGTTTATAGCAACGTGAAAAATAAATAAAGGGATAAAGATACTGGCTATCAGATAGCCACTGACCACAATATATTACAAATTTTATGCTGACTTGATTATGACAATATTTAATGAATAAAATAACTTTTTATTATTATTTAATTTTAGTAATATTTAAAAAAATTTCTAATTATCAAACAGTACCCAAATTTTATATTCTATGCATAAAAATTATAAAAGGGACTAAGACTACTTATTTTAATTTTTAAGGTGTTTAGTCCTCTTGAGTTTCCTCCTCGATTTCTGCGTATGAGCAATAACAATTCTATAAGATCAATATTTATATGTTATATATTAAATATGAAAAATTTACGGACTGAGTAATTTTTACCTCTAAAAACCTAACTAATAAATTATAAATTATTATAGTTGGAGTGATAGTTTTTGTAAGTTCATTCTTGGAACCTGATTCGCAAGGTTTCTTTTGTAATGATAGATCCCTTGATCGCCAACTCAAACAATCGACTGTTAGCAAATATTTTCTATGCTTATTTTATTTTGTGATACCAAACACAGTGGTAATACTTAATAACCTTTACAAATCATTTTAAATTATTTAATAAAATTTTAACTCTTAATTGTAATTTTAGATATGGTATGATTATTATATATGTTCATACAAAAGTATGATAACAACATGTAATCAAACAATATACTTTTGGTTGGGTTCAGGATTGGCTCATATCACTGTTAACATCGGAAAATATTGTACAGGTCGATTGAGGCCAAATTTTTTTCAAGCCTGTAAACCAAATATTAAATGTCTAAGTAAAGATCAATTCATAGATGAATATATTTGTACAAATTCAGACGTCTCAGTTGCAATTGAATCAAAGTAACTGAAATTAAAGTTAAAAATTAGTAAAAAAAATTAAAGTTTAGGTTTTTAACACTGAATGGATGAAAATCAAATTAATTAACTTTATATTATTGCAGAGTGTTTTGAATCAAATAATAAAATTACTAATATTGGTTTTTTTAGCTTCGATGCGAAGTTGAGAAGGTATTAATTTTACCATAATGTGTTTATTTATTTTTTTTTTTTGTGTCTGTCACTACTTTTTCTCAGCTCTCACTGGACCGATTTCTTTTAACAATACGTCAAAAGATCACAAATTGTATCTAGTTGAAGACATTACCCTTAAAAATTTAAAAATTTTCCCTCGTTCCCCGCAAATGGGGGAAATATCCAAAAAAATTACAAATNTGAAAAATTTTCCCTCGTTCCCCGTAAATAGGGGAAATCTCCAAAAAAATTACAAATTTAAAAATCGATAAATTTTGTTATTTTTTTCACTTTTTTCATAAAACTTCCATAACTTTTTCAAAAATCAACATATCAACATCATTTTTTTTTTTTAATAAAACCTCAGATACTTTCCTTTTATTTGATATCATTTTTTGAAAATTTAACACTTAACCTGCTCACTGGGGGGGGGGTGAAAATGGCAACTTTTTTACAAAAACTAACTTTTTCAACTTAATGCTATCTTTTTATTAAAATTCTAGGTTTTGTATTTTATTTTATTTTAAAATATCTTATTAGGAGAATATATTGACTTTCATGAATATTATATAATTTAATTGACATAGAATAAATTTCATAAGACATAAGAAATAAAAATTTTTTTTACTTTTTTAAAGTCGAAAAAGTAATTTTTAAATTTGAGTTAGCTTAAATAGCCAATTTTATCTATCGACAAAAACAACGAACAGTTGCCGAGTCGGTAACACGTGTGTGTTTTAAACGAATGGTACGAGGTTCAACTCCGTCTGTTAGCCAACAAAATCTTGCATTTTTTTTGAGTTATAATAAAATTTTCAAATTATTTGATGTTTATCTCATTTAGATTCAATAACTTCAATAAATATAAAGGATCCTATCACTATAGTCTCCCTTCGTGAGAAGAAATTTCTTATTCATGTTAATATTATTTTACTATGTGGTTCTTTTTATGGCTACGATTTATTTTGCCAACCCTCACTAGACCTACATTTTTCAACGATACGTCAACAGATCACAAATTGTATCTATTCGAAGACATTACCTTCAAAAATTGAAAAAATTTCCCTCGTTCCTCGTAAATGGATGAAATCTCCAAAAAAATTACAAATTTAAAAATCACTAATTTTTGAAATTTTTTCAACTCTTTTTACTAAAACAGCCATAACTTTTTCAAAAATGAACATATCAATATAATTTTTTTTTATAGATGATTGATGTCTTTACCTATCATTTGGTATATTTTTTTTATAAATTTAACCCTTTACCAACCCACAAGGGGGATTCAAAATGACAACTTTTTCACAAAAAATTAACTTTTTCAACTTAACTTTTGAAAGTGTTCCAGAAATACTGACACTTTTATATATAACTTAAATTAAAGCAAATGTAATATAATTAATTATGGAAAAAAAAAATTTCAGACTTTATTTTGTCTTCATGGTGAAAACAGTCATCAACGTTTATAAAAAAAATACGATTTTTGTAAAAATATTCTTTTTCATATTTTTAACTTTATAACACTATAACTCTTTGAAAAATATATGGATGAATACAATTTTTTTATGAGAAATAATATTTATATACTTCTTTAATTCGACTTTTTTTTTAAATCGGACCATTTCTCTTAATACAGGGGAGGTTCAAAACATAACAATGCATATAGAAAGTAGAACTTATTCAACTTAATTTTTGAAAATGTTCCGGAAATACTGACACTTTTATATATATCTTAAATTAAAGTTTATGTAATATACTTTAATATAAAAAAAAAAAATTTGGACTTTATTTTGTCTTCATAGCGAAAATAGCTACCGTATTTAAAAATATGCTATTATTGTGTTAAAATTCTTAGTTTTTTATTATTTTATTACAAGGGGATTACACTGATTTTCATAAATATTATATCAATCTAAATGACATAGTATAAAAAATTAAACATATTTAGATTTTTTTGTTTCTTTGAAGTCAAGAAAAATAACTTTAAAATTTGAACTAGCTAAATTTCCATTTTTATTAAGTGACGAATGAGACGTACGGTTTTTGATAACGGTAACACTTGGGTCTTTCATGACTGTGGTACTGAACTTTTTTTTAAATTCTTTTTGAGTTAAAATAAATGTTTAACTCATTTGATTTTTATCTCATTTAGATTCAATAACTTCAATAAATATCAAGGATTCCATTACTGTAGTCTCCTCTCGTGAGAAGAAATTCATATTAATATTATTTTACTATGTAGTTTTTTTTTGTAGCTATCATTTATTTTCTCAGCTCTCATTTGACCTACTTTTTTAACAAATTTTTTTTTTTTAATTAAACACTATCTACAGATTTGCATCGAAGCGTTTTTTAAGATAGTGATTTTAATCGCTGTCAGATTAAATCTATAGTGGACCCAACTATGGTACGTCCCCACTGTGCTGGGTTTTTTATTAATTAAATGATTCATGATAATAGAATCACTTATGTTACTATATATGGGGTATTGTCTTGACAATTGTCAATGCTTATAGCTTTTGATAGAATTGACAATTGATTAAAATTATTTAAAGTAATTGTTGTCTTCTTAAACTATGTAAAACATATTTTTATTTTTTATTATTAATAAGAAAAAAAATGAAATAATTTAATTTTAGTGGTTTTCTATTAGTGATAAACAGGGCTCGTAAGTTCATGCACTAAAAAACTAAAAAAAGGTACGCAAATATTCACTAAAAACTGGTGAAATGTGCTCTTAAAACATATCAGTACACTGTTTAAATTTTCTGGGAAGGGGCGAAATTAAATTTTACCCCTCCAAATAATAGTTTTTATATAACAATGCAAATAATTTTACTTCATTTTTGTAGGGCTAATTTTAAACTTGGTGAGGGATTTAGCCCCCCTCCTAAATCCCACCCAATGGCTATACTAAATATCTAAAATAGCATATTTTGATAGAGCAAAAAATTTTTAAAATTTTTAATTTGTCTAAAATTATATAATGATGCCGGAAATATTATAGTTCCAAGCTAGTCAGAAGAATTGTACCTCTATGCATGTATTATATTTATTGTTATGACGAAAATAAATTTATAGATAGCCATACACATGTTTGATTTAGTAGAAAATAGTGGTGATAGTGCGATAATATTAATTCTAGTAAACTGCTTAAAATTCATAAAACCCACAAAATATCATAAAAGAATATATTTAAAAAAATAAATAATTTAAAAATTTATTTATTTTTTTTTTTTTCACCTTTGTTGAAAAAAGATTTCCCTGGATTTACAAGACTTAATATGCTCTAGTAACTTCAAAAAATAAATATATGTTAAATATGCCCTAACACCCAAAAAATGCATTATCAATTTTCATATTTTTATTACTGTTGTTCTAAAATTGATTTGTAGATCACTGAGAATGTTTTCTGAAAGCAAAACAAAAACATGAAAGTGCATGAACTTACAATCAAAAATTAAGTTGAAAAAGTTAGTTTTTGTAAAAAAGTTACTATTTTAAATCCCCCTGTGAGCAAAATAAGTGTTAGATTTTCAAAAAAAATTATATTAAATGAAAGGAAATTACCTAAGGTTTCAATATAAAAAAATATTATTTTGATTTGTTTATATTTGAAAAAGTTATGGCAGTTTTAAGTACTAAAAACATCCAGATAGGTGATTTTTATCGCAAACATTACATTTTTTGTTGAATTTCAGAAGCCGTTTGCACATAGAAGATAAGGTATCGGGACAAATTTTTTTTTTCGTTTTATAGTATATGACATAATCTTTGATTTGTTATATGTTTAAAGGACGCAGTATTTCCGGAACATTTTCAAAAGTTAAGTTGAAAAAGTTCTATTTTTTATACAATTTTTCAAGTTTTGAACGCTCCCTTTATAAGGGGAAATGGTCCAATTTTAATAAACAGTATGTCAAATGAAAAATGTACTTAAAATGTATTTATAAACCTAAAATTATGCTGATACATACATTTTTTGAAAAGTTATAGCATTTTACCCAACCCAACCTAAAATTATGCTGATACATACATTTTTTGAAAAGTTATAGCATTTTAAAGTTGAAAATTTAAAATCAAAAATCGAAAATTTTAACATAAAATTACAATTTTTTTAACTACGGCAGTCGTTTGCATTCAGAAAATAAAGTGTGTAAAATTTTTTTTTTCATTTTATAGTACATGATATAAGTTTGATATATGTTTAAAGGACGCAGTATTTCTGGTACATTTTCAAAATTTAAGTTGAAAAAGTTAGGTTTTGTAAAGAAGTTACTATTTTAATTAAATCCCCCCTTGTGAGCAGGTTAATTGTTAGATTTTCAAAAAAATGTCTTCGACTAGATACGATTTGTGATATTTTGACGTATCATTGAAAGAAATCGGTTCGATGAGAGCTTAGAAAAAGTGGTAACAGACACCCAAAAAAAAAAAACACATCATGGTAAAATTAATACCTTCTCAGCTTCGCATCGAAGCTAAAAAATATTGTTAGCACTGGTTCAAGGAGTCCAATCGCCCATATCCTTCTTAAGTACGCCCATGATGTACATAATAATTAATTATGTTTTAATTGTAATAATATTACAGAATAATTAAAATCAGGCAGGTTATTATTCCGGAGACTATGTAAATAGGCAATTTTGAAAAGATTATTGGTTTCTGTGATTTAACATTGTACAGCATAGATTTCATAGATAGACTTATTTGTTATATATGAAATAAATAAGAAAAAAAAATAGTTCAAAAAGAAAAAAGTACATTTAAACAGTAAGCTGATTATAAAGCTTACGTTCAAACAAAATATATATATAACAATAAACTTGATT